GTTAGTGTTGCCCACCCCATTGAAAACCTATTTCATTTGATTGTTAGGTTAGAGTTGCTCACTCTATTAGAATCCTATGAGTTAGTGCTGAGCATTCCATAAGAATTCTATTTCATTTGATTGTTAAGTTAGTGCTGCGCACTCCATTAGAATTCTATTTCATTTGATTGTTAGGTTAGTGTTGCACACTCCATTAGAATGCTATTTCATTGGGATGTTAGGTTAGTGTTGCGCACTGCCTCAGAATTCTATTTCATTTGGTTGTTGGGTTATTGTTGCACACTCCATCAGAATCCTCTTCATTTGATTGTTAAGTAAGTGTTGCACACTCCCTTAGAATCCTATTTCATTTCAATGTTAGGTTATTGTTCTGCATTCCATTAAAATCCTATTTCATTTGATTGTTAGGTCAGTGTTGTGTACTCCATTATAATCCTATTTCATTTTATTGTTAGGTTAGTGTTGCGCACTCCATTAGAATGCTCTTTTATTTGATTGTTAGTTTAGTGTTGTGCAATCCATTAGAAATCGTATTTCATTCGATTGCTAGGTAAGTGTTGCGTACTCCATTAAAATCCTATTTCATTTGATTGAAAGGTTAGTGTTGTGCACTCCATTAGAATCCTATTTCATCTAATTTTTAGGTTAGTGTTGCGCACTCCATTAGAATCCCATTTCATTTGATTGCGAGGTTAATGTTGTGCACTTTATTAGAATCCTATTTAATTTGATGGTTACCTTAGTGTTACACACTCCATTAGAATCCTATTTTATTGGAATTTTAAGTTAGTGTTGTGCACTCCATTACAATCCTATTTCCTTGAATGTTAGTTAGTGTTGCGCTCTCCACCGGAATCCTATTTCATTTGATTTTCAGGTTAGTGTTACGCACTCCATTAGAATCCCATTTCATTTGATTTTTACGTTAGTGTTGCGCACTCCATTGGAATCCTTTATCATTTAGTTGATAAGTTAGTGCTACGCACTCCATTAGAATACCATTTCATTTTATTGTTAGGTCAGTGTTGTGCACTCCATTGGAATCCTGTTTCATTTGATTGTTAAGTCAGTGTTGTGCACTCTATTAGAATACTGTTGTATTTGGTTGTTAGGTTAGCGATATGCGCTCCATTAGAATCCTATTTTATTCGATGTTTCCGTTAGTGTTGCGCACTTTATTAGAGTCCTATTTCATTTGATTGTTAGGTTAGTGTCGTGCACGCCATTTGAATCCTATTTCATTTGCGTCATAGGTTAGTGTTGTGCACTCAGAATCCTGTTTCATTAGATTGTTAAGTTAATGTTGTGCTGTCCATCAGAATGCTATTTCATTTGAATGTTAGTGTTTCGTTAATACAATGAATTATTAACTTG